GAAGGTCCAGACTGTAGCAGCCTCCTGGCAGAGCCATGGCTGTGGGCTTGGATACAGCCCCCTGGAGGGAGGAGGGCAAGCAGGTGAGGGTGGGAGTGCAAAACCCAGGCAGTTGCACATCAGATGTTGTCAGAGGCTTTTAAGGAGTAACATCTCGCATCTCAGGCTCTCTACAGGGAGGGATGAAATCCCCAAAACAGAATGCTCTCAAGCTATGCAGCCCCAGCCCCATGGGTTGTCCCAACACTCATGGGGTGAATAAGCACAGCGGAAAAGCCTGAGCAACTGCTGCCAAACGACTGGGAAGATGCAGCCCACGGTGTCTGTTGTGTCTGAGATCTCTGTGAAGTCTCTCACATCTTTCCTCAAGTTTAGTTTTCCAGTGGAGGCTGTTGCAGTAATGAGAATGTCTCCCATCTGCTCCTCACGTGGCTTGGCACATTTAGCCAGAATATATATATTTTTATTGTGGGGTTAGCCGGTGGTAACCATGACAATTAGACTTATCACGCAGCATTTTTTTCCCTCCTTGAGTCAGTTTGAAATGCTGACAATTAAATAGATACAGTACACTTTAGAGATCCATCAGTCTCTTTGTTGTCTTGACAACCAGAGTATATTTAGAAATGTAACAAGTACATGGAGTTCAATTACACTTTTGCTAAAACATAGTTTTGTAGCTTGAGAATTTAATCTGTTGTTTGTAGGTCCAGGTGCTTATTTGAGCTGTGCCTGACTTTCTCTTGGGTCTGTCTGGGAAGCTCCTACATCGACTGGTGAAAAGAAAGTCCTCAGGCAGGGAGCAAACCTGCCCACTGCACGTGGTAGGGGTTGGGTGTGGGGCTGGCAGCCGCTTCCTACTTGGGTACTGGATGTGCTGTGCTCCTGGATGCTCCTTATGCTTGTGGTTTGACTTGATTTGCAGTGCAAAAGGAACGTGTGTGATTGTTGTCCCAGATCTACTGTCCCTGGAGATCCAGTTCCGCAGACGATGCTGGGGAGCCATGAGCGGCATGTCCAAGCATCCTCTCCCAGAGAAGCTGCTCTCACAGTTCAGTAGCACTTTGGTACAGGAGGACAGTACCATGGAGCGTGATGCTGGCAAACTGGGATGGCTTTCCTGCTGCACCTGAGCTACCTGAGCTTTGGTTGCAACTGGGAGCAACTCTCAGACATGGAAGCAATGGAGGAGACTGTTTCTCTGTCTCACTTTTTCTGTTTTATTTTTGATTTGAATGGGGTGTGTCTTTTTGATTCTACCAAAAACTAATACTTCCTATTTGATTGCAAAATTGAACTCATTCTCTCTCCACTGAACTGGAGTAGCAGCATCTGGGCTAGCTATCTGGAGCTATGGATTTTTAAGGCTGCATTCAGGGCTGGAGGAGCAGGAGGGGGCTCTGGGGGGCTCTAAATATCCCTGTCTCCCACCACCCCTGTACACACACTGAGGGTGGGTGGGTGTTGAGTGGCTGTGTTCCTCTCTACCCTTTCCCTTTTTGAGCCAGTACAGAGCTGTTGTCGGTGCAGGCACCTGTGTGAGTGTGACAGCCATACCTGAAGTGTGGTGACCTGCCAGCCTAGAAGAGCAACTCAGACGTGTGGCTCTCATCTGCTGCCATCCTACAGCCCAGTGCCTGTGAGATACAGGCTGGCACCACAGTGGCCTTGCTACATCATTAGCACAGGACCTGGTGGTGCTGCCGCCTTGCCTAACTTGTGGCGGTTTACAAATCTGTGTATGAAGAGAGAGGCACCCAAACAGGTGTATCAGAGTATTTCCCTGGCTTGAGTGATGAATGAATGAAATGAAAATCAGATGATGAAATAGCTCAAACGTTCCCCACCACCCTTTTGTCTGGCTGACCCAGGCAGTGATGCTGGTCAGAGGTGCCCCTTCAGAAGGCTCGCAGATTGAGGAGCTGCTCAAAGGGACTTCTTTGTGCTGGTGGGCCTTTGTAATCAGCACCTGAATCCCATGGCAGGGCCTGGGATGCTTGTGGATTTTCTGCTAAATGTTAAGCCAGACTCTTCCACCTCTCCCTGCTTTAGGCTTGGCTTGTAATTTATACTTGGCACTATAAATTGACCAGAAAAAATGAAAAAACCTAAACAAACCAGGATTCTCCTTTATCAGCAAAGCTGTGGCAATGCAGCGGTCTGAACAGGAGCTTGGTTACAGCTGATAGAGTGGCCTTTTGCCCAAGGGAGCCAGTTCATTCGGTGAGATGGTTTAAAGAAGGCAACAGTAGCTCCATGGCATGGATGTAGTGATGTTTGGCAGCATCCACCCCTGGGCAGAGGTCTGTAAAACCGGTCAGTAGCACTGCTCTGCTCCTGGGAGCATGGTCAGTACAAGCTTATCTCTGGGTGGTTATTACAAGGAGGTGAGGAAGGCTGAGGGAGAGGAGACCATCCTGAGATCAGCAAGTGACAGCCAGTGAAATGCAGCTGTTTTTCCTTGGGTGCATGACATATTGTCTGGGCATTATACCCAAAATATAATTTAATAAGGCTCAAAAGGAGGACAGAATTACATGATTTCACTTCCTTATTCCCTGTGCTTCTTTTTCATTCATTATCTGTCAAATAATATTTGATTTCTCAGTGTGTGTGCACAGCTCGGTTTCATTTTTCTGTTTTCTTTCCTCCCTCCATTTTACCAATTTCCCAAAAAAAATTACAAACTATAGTTATATCTCCACTCAAGGTTTGTTTGTAGAAGGTTATCCTGTGTTCTTCCGGTGTTTAGTAGCTGCTGGGGTTTATTCTTAAAATATATGAATAAAAAACCCCAGTGATTCTAGTGAGTCTTCAAGAGTATTTTAAAGAAGTTATCCCAATCAATCTGACAAAGATAATGGTCTTCCATTAGAAGATACTTAGCTGGAGGTTGCATGAGCTGTAATGTTTATGCGTCTGTAGATCTGTAACCAGACAAAATCAGAATAACTCCTTGGATTTCAGTGGAGCTATATCTGTTTATTACAACTGAGGCTTAGGTAGTGCTTTAAATGCAAATTGCAACCTCTGTGAAGTTAAGTGGGGTTTTGATTTAATTCCTGGAAGCAGTAATGTCAGCAAAGAAGTGAAGGGCTGGGACCCACATACCCTGAAGTCTGTAACTTTGGATTGCTCTCTTTCCATTATTGTCAAGATCAGATTCCCTTGGTTGGGGCTACTAATTAAAATGCAGCTTCTCTTAAGCATCTCCCAAAGGCAAGCAAGAGGGAGTGGAAGTGCAACCTGTGCAGATTCTCCCTCTCTCTCTCTTTCTCTCTCTCGACTTTGCAGAAAATGCCAGTGGTTAGGTTGTTCTCTCTGACTGCTTGGGGTTGGGCTGTTGACCTGGAGTTTGTGTTTTCCGTCTCCAAAAAAAAAAATGCAAAGACACTATGCTGAGTTATCTGGCTGTGATGCAGAGGGAGCTGGGTTCTCCTTTCCCCCAACTTACACGTGTCCCTGCAGCCATCAGGAGACATGGGCCACCGCTCATCACCCCCACTGTGTGTGGCATAAGTGATTCACCATGCGTTCATTTCTGGTCACATAAGGGCCATTAGTTTAAAGCAGGCTTGAGGCATAGGTTAGCGTTAGCTATTTGAAGTCTGAAATCTGAAAGCAACATCAAACAGGGAGCAGAAAATGTATCATGCACAGAAAAATCTCTGGGATTTGTTTCTCTCTTTAAAAAATAATAATAATAAATTCCAAACTGTTTGCATATGCTGTCTCTTCTGTGGTCAGGACACCTGTCTGCCTCTTTGCTGATACTTGATACAGGCTTACAGTGCTTGCAAAAATGTTAACGCAAATTTTTTGTCATGGCAAATATGAAAAGAATATCCAGTGTCTGTGTGGGCAGGTCCTCAGCAAATTTTTCTGTGCTTCTTATGCTTTGGTGTGGATCTGAAGCAACTGCTGCTGTTCTGCTCCTCTTCATCACTGCGGACCAGGAGCGCAAAGCTGCTGCCCTGCCAGACCCACTTCTCTGGAGCAAAGACAGCTGATGGTGGGTCTAATGAGGTTTAGCCTGGTTTCCTTAAAAAAATCATGTTTGTGACTGGCTAGATATGTCTCTCCTTCCTCTCTTTAATGACTTAATCCTTGGCTAATCTCAGGAAAATAGGGGTAAGGATGCAGTTAGGAGGAATTGGGGGTAACCTGGTGCAACCAGGAGCATGGTGGGCTGGGAGAGCTGGGGCAGGGAGAGGTGGACCTTTCATTAATCATCACTAGTATTTTTTGAACTTGCTCATTTCTTCTTCAAGACTGAGATGAAAGGAAATAGAAAACATCAGATAGTCTCAAATATCAATAAGCTGGAAGTGTAAAAGACTGCTGGTTGAAAGCAGCTTGTGGTAACTTAGAAGACCTGTGTTTTTTTTTAATTGGGTGTCTTTGGAGACACCCAAAAAGGAAACCAGGGCTGTAGATGGAGGTATGGTTTGGGCTGTCCCAGCCTGACTCTTTTTCCACAACGACTGTGTGTTTAACGCATCCCATCTTGGGTGCTTCTTGATGCTTGCATGGCAAAGCCAGTGCTGTGAGAATGACTCACCGTTGGCCTGAGCAGCAGTAGAGGCTTGGGAAGAAGACGCCTTTTAAGCATGAGAAGCAGAAGGGCGTCTGGTCAGGCTTTGAAAGGGACTTTGTTACCTGCAGCCCTTACGTCAGTGCCTTTCACCAGCTCTACAGTGATTTAAAACAAGTAGCTTCTCTTCCAAAGAAACCTCAGCTACTTCAGCTCTTGCTCAGATGTAATCTGTGCTGCCAATGTGTGAAAAACCCTTATATGGGTCAAAACAAGGACAGACTGACACACGAGTTGTTTCAGAGAGGGGAAAAAAAGCTATGGTTTGCTCTGTACAGGAGGGCAGCTGGCCTTATGTGCCCTTTTGGGGTTGTTTTTTTGGCGAGGTGTTACAGCCAGCTTGATTTACTTTCTGCTTTTACAATGAGCAAAATGTTGATTCTGACCTTTCTGTTTGCACCTGCAGAGGTCCCTTGGAAGAGTCTGTCTGTACATCCGTCTGGGTGCCTGAAGGGGCCGCCTTGCTTCCAGGTGAGGAATGGATTAACTCCAAGGGCTTTTGCCAACTGCTGAGTTTAGGGAGAGTGGAAAGACCTTGATACCATGTTTGGTTGTTCAGCAACTGATGGGCATGTCTCCAAAGCCTGGGGTGGTGGGAGGCCAGCCTGCCCAGAAGGGTTGAGGTCTAGAAGCAGGAAGCGTTCAGGCTCTCCTGGGAGTGGAGGTGTTGTATGGGAACAATTGCTTGGTTCTCTGGGCCATATCGCTTTGACTTCTTTTTGAACAAAACTTTCTTGCTTGTGGATCTGAATTCATTCCCCATTCATGATGTGGCTCTGCAGGCTGGAGATGCTCCCAGCTGGTGATGGAGAGCTGACTGTATTATTAGTTTTAATTAGCCATGCTTCAATGGATGAGTAGAAATTCATATCAGGAGCAAATTAATTTCAGGAACAGTGTCAGGGTAGTGGGTCTGTCCTCAAGCCTCTCTCAGTTGTGCCATCCCAGGAGACAAAAGGGTGCTAGAGGTGCAGCAAAGTCGTGGCTCCTGTGGGAAGAAAGCAGCATGCAGCCTTTATGAGAAACAGATAATGAATGAACTGCTATCCTGGTAGTTTTGACTAGTGGAGCTTCTTTATTTACCATGATGTTACCTGACTTGAGGACCTTGAGATGTCTATGTGATATGCCAAATAAGGCGCAGTGCTTCTTCACCCTCTTGTGTCACTGAATATAAAGGCATTTTCATTCTTCCCTTTTCCTATGCAATGCACATCCCTCCTTTCTTCCTTTACCCTCTTCTTGGGTTTATTTTTTTTATTTTGTTGTTGTTGTTGTGTAAATTATGGCTAGCTGGAGATGAGATTTCAGCATCCTATTTACTGCAAACAGGGGTCATTAATAAATGTTGAAAGACAAAGACAGACCAGGGATTAATAAGTAGAGGACAGGAGATTAATAGCAAGAGAGTGGAATTTGGTTCAAGGCCTGATCTTCCCAGTTGCTGGGTTATGGAAGATTAATGGCAGCTCTTCTATTAGTCTCACTCTTTCTGTGGCAGCTTTCCTGGCTAAGTCTAATAAACTGTCCCAGTGGGTTGCTGTAAATATGAAATCTAAGAAAAAGCCCATCGTTTTATACTGTTAAATGAATGAGGCATTATTAGTTTTGCTTTCTGTTCAGAGCTTGAGCAATAACATCAATACATTTGTGAGTGGTGAAGTCAGATTTTCAGGTACTTACAACTCCTCTCAAGACAAAAACATATCATAAAATGTATCTTGCCAAGCAAGCTGTCTCCAACAAATTGGTTTTTTACTCTGTGTCCTGTGCAAGAGATTAATTTCTCTTCTCCTGACTGGGTTTTCAGCTTTCTTTCTGTGAAAAATTGGGCTCTTGACCTGTTGCATCTGGCTTCTCATTAGGCTTGGTGTGAGATTAGATCATTTTAAGAAAACACTAACTTTGCAAAGAGCATTCCTGGTTAAATTTGTTAGAGAACTGTAGAACATGGGACTGTGTCACAGAAAGTTTATTCTGATAGAAAGATGCATGTAGTTCTGGGTGTCATGTATAGGTTGTCAACCTCCATCTCCTACCTTTAGGCTGAAACTACTGAATCAAGCACCCCTGGACTCCTTTGACCTCTGCCTTTGGGTATTTTCCATAGTCTTCACAAAGATGATCCCAAGCTCTTAGTGCATAGAGTTTTAATGAAATATAGGTATGGACATTTTAGGAAGGAAGCTGCTGTGTTCCTGTAACAGTGAGTGTGATGAAGCCAGGGCTAAACATCAGAACTTCAGCAAATATCCATCAAAACTTAGCAATAGCTGAATTCTTCTCCAGGGGAGAAAGGCTATGCACTGCTTCAGTGGCCCTGTAACAAAGCTTTTCCCCTGTCATCTGCTCTTGCATGCAGTGCCCTTGGTTTTTCAGAAGTTAATTGATTTGTCTATATTATGATTCTCTCTTTAATTTTATTTGTGTAAAGAAGAACACACACTAATCTTTCTCCAGAGAAATGTTTCCCATTGCTCCTCTTTGAACATTGGCCCTGGGTCTGCTGTTTCTTAATGAGTCTCTAACTAAACAGCTTCGGTTCCCACAAGCTCCAGCCTTGACACAGACGCACTTGTACACCCTCGTGCCTGCTCCCAGTTGAACTGAGCAGCCTGCCTGCTCCCTTGCCCTCTGGCTGCTTTAAGGATTCACGTTAGCAAGGCAGCACCTCCCTGGAAAGCCCTACATGTGATAGGGGGCTTTATACCTGTGGGTAGAGATAGATTTGGCATCAAATGAGATGTCCTGTGAATTGGAAGGGCTGTAATCTCTTTACCATGCTGTCCCCCCACCGCCAGGCTTGTTTAATGTGCTTCTCCAGGAGCTTGGATTCCTGTGGGCTGCGCTGTCCGCAGCACAGACCCGAGTGAGTGCTGAGCTGAACACCCAACGCTGAATTACTGTCTGGTATGCCACTGGCTGCCAGATCTTTGATAGCTTGTTTTTAATGAAGATTCCTCCTGTAATTCCTAGAATATCTTGCAGTGCAAAAAAAATGAGCGGTGTGTGTATTTTGCTGTGGGCTGAATTTTTTCCTGCTCTTCACAGTTCCCTCTGTGAACAGAGAGGAAAGGGAGGGGGAAGCAGCTGACTGCTTTTTTGTTGTTGTTGTTGTTGTTGTTTTTCTACTTGAGTTCTGTGAAATATGTGGCGATCAATCGCTCACAACTAACAAAATGTTTTTGTTTCTCTTTGCAAAAGCATATGGGAACTGCAGGAAAAGCATATGGGCGTTTTTAGGAAAACATATTGGTGAATGGACAAATTATAGTGGTGCCAATATGTTTTGGATGTCTGGCTAGACCACTACTACTACCACACTTGCTGGCATGCAAACACATCCACAAGATTTTCAGCATGTGAGAGGTGTGTAGTTGCTCCTGGGGAAAGGCAGGCTGTGCTGGATCAAACTCCTGTTAGAACAGTGCTGTGATCCATCGTCGGTGTGCGTGACTGCCTCACCATGTCCCGGGCTAGGCTCATGTTTATGGCAGCATATCCATTCTCTCTGAGCCCAGAGCTCCACTTGCAGCTGGCTGCAAGCAATGATAATGGTAACCATTTTATTTTCTGAAGCCCTGGACTAAAGTCCTCTTAGAACCTGAGCATCTTGCAAACAGGCTGAGCAGCCTCTGTTTTTCCTCTGCTGTTCTATCTAGGTCTTTATGTGTTGGCTTGGGCTGTTATTTTTAATTTCTCTGTCAAGGGATTTACTTTTGAGAAAATGCAGAACATTTGCATTATTGCTTCTGGTCCCAGTCCTGATTGTCCTGATACTGGTGACCCATGGAAAGGGGACCATGAGCAATAAGGGAGTTAAGTGCTCTTGATTGATGGGTTGGTTGTAGTGGCTCACAGCATCCCTACAGTGTGAGCTGCCTTGCTGTGGACCCCTGTACAAGGAGAAGTCCTTGACAGCTCCAATTGGGCAGTCAGTCCTTCCCACTCACCCTGGCAGTGAGGGAAGTGCTGCCTGCTCCACCTCTGCCTGGGATGGGCATGGCTGTGCTGGCTGCAGGGGTTGGTAGCAGTTCTCTGCCCACGTTTGGGTTTCAGCAGGTCCCAGGGGACTGGCTGAGGTCTGCTTGCGCAAATGTGCACAGGGGTAGCCACCTCCTGTCTGTAAGACCTCACAGTCTAAGCGGACAAAACTGAGCTGCTGAGAAGGATGTGAAGGTCTCTGATTGTTGGGGAAGATGGGCAATAACTGAACTCAAGTGGTGGTTTCACAAGCAGGTTCAACCAGTCTGAGTTTGTGCTGTTGCTGGAAGAGGCGATCCTGCTGTCCCTGTGCCCCAACCCTCATTTCCCATTTTTATACTTTATAAGAAAAAAGGGAGTGGTGAGACAGAGGAGGGAGCAAAACATGTGGCTAAAGACTGGGGGGATAATCAAGATACACATTTGGGCAGTCATTTCGACATGGTGTTGTTTATCTCAGTTATGAACCTGCACTCAAATATTCTGAGTGGTAATTCAGCACCTTTTAGTGTTCTTCCTCTTATGCAAACTTCAGGATGATTTGCTAGTGAGTAATTTTACATTATTTAATGTAGCCACTTTCCATATAGCTCTTTTGTTCTGTGAGACAATTCCCTATTTTATTATGCAAACAGTACATTAAGATCCTTGTGGGCCTAAGTTCCCAGCAGTGCTTGAGATGATGGCAGAGAAATAGGTTATTCCAGAAATCATGATTCTCTCCTCTAGAAGCTTTCGTGGGGTTCTGCTTTAACTGCTTGTGATATTATACGTGCTTAAAAAAAAAAAAAGTTAAAAAAATCCAGTACTTCCTAAATGTTACAGAGCTCAAAAATACACTGTATGCCTTGTCACAATATTTAATACAGAGTGCTATTTACAGTAATGAATCAAAATGTCAGTTTTTAAAATATGAACTGTCAGAGTGTTCCTACTTTGCAGAAAACTTTGATATGACAGTTTGTTAATCATATGACTATTACATCAAATGTGTCTAAGAGTACTTTTGCTCAACCAAGTCTTTTTTTATTCTTTTCCCTGTTAATTCTGGTAGGGTTGTTTGATTGAATACACTTTGATTGGTGGTCAGAAGAATCCAGAACTGAATGCTTTTGTGTATTGACAAAGGGGAGGTACCACTGCCTGTGTTCTTGCTGGTCATGGTAACCTAGTCTTAGATACAGTCTGGTTTGGATCGCTTTGCCGTGCGTGGTCATCCCAAATCTGCTGTGTGCAGTGCTCAGGCTCAGAAATGAGCCCTGACAGAACAGTGCTGATGCCTTCAGGGGTAACTCTGCATTTGGGGCAACTGGGCTAAAACTGTGTATTGGGTAATAAAAAGCTGGCTTGTACAGTAGCAGTACAAATCCCTATAGCTTTAGCATGAAGGCACAAGTAAAATAAAGAAAAAATCAATTTAAAAATAAAAATAAAGGCTGCCCACACATCCTCAGTGAGCTGAAGGGCTGGTTGTGCAGGGCAGGGTT